GAGAAGTGTAAATTAGGTATTAATTAGAATTCCTGTGAGAAATGTATTTAAACTGTTAGGCTTATAGCCAACAGGAAAGTTTTTCTGATGTTACAGAAGTTTCAGTACTTACTAGTTAAAACATTTTAAAGCAATTAATTGGGAGCTATTCCAAGCTCCCCACTCACACTTAGCAGCACCTCACCTACAAATATCACCACAGACTTCCACGTGACTCAGAGGAATGACACGAGTGTGTGTCCAGCCTTTAGCATTTACAGTTGAAGGTTCTGGACAACAGAGAAATTGTTATCTAACTTTTCCATCCTATTTCCTTGGAAGTTGATATTGTTTGGTAAATACTGGAGGTTAAATAAGAAGTTAGTCAACATACTTGTCAGTTCCTTTACACGCAAAAGTAAAAATCATTTTAATCTCAAAAGTGATAAAGTTTATTTTCTCAGGTCTAATTTTCCTGCAGCTACATACTCTCTCACAGTACTCTTATTTTGGGGGTGATCAAGCTTATTTTTATCTAACAGGTTTTACAGCCAAGAAATACTACTACAGTCCTCATTTTGAGGGAAGAAATTCTGACAGTTATACACTCAAAAAAACAACACATACTTAAAAAACCAGAACTGCTGCACAAGAAGCACAAGAGCAATAGATCAAAAGAATTGGCCTAGCTAACTTTGTTGAACTTCATCATGCAGCTTGTTTTTTTTCAGGGGTAGATCATTGTTGGTTTGTTTTGTTTTGCTTTGAATATTAAGCACAAACCTCCAACAAGGTACAGTGAAGGCACATACCCTTCACATAGCAAAACATATCTAGCATCTTAGAAACTTGAGGGAAAACTTCAGTTGAAGTAAATTTGCATAGTTTCATTACTTCAGTATCACTTTACATCATTTGAGCATCAGACTCATTCTGCAGATGTTATTAAAATACATTATGAAATGTTATAAACCCTAGTGAAAGAGAAACTTTCCGTTAGAAGTGGGCAACTTCTTCATACAAGAAGAAAAGGAGCCTTAGCTTCTCATTTTTGGCTCAATGGCCATCTCTGGTCCTTTACTTTGTAAGTTTACACTAACAGATAGGCTCTATAAAAAAAATAGTTGAAGAGTCTGGCTTAAAAGCCCACTGAGGTCAGATGACCTTTCTAAGTTGCTGGAAGCAATATAAAATACAGAGCTCTAAAGCACAATTCCTTTTAAATCTTTACCTCAATCTTTTGTGGAATCAAGCACGGACCTGAAATTTGAGGAACTCCTAATTGTCCAAAAGAGTTAGACATAAAAAAATAGTTGAAGAGTCTGGCTTAAAGCCCGCTGAGGTCAGACGACCTTTCTAAGTTGCTGGAAGCAGTATAAAATACAGAGCTCTAAAGCACAATTCCTTTTAAATCTTTACCTCAATCTTTTGTGGAATCAAGCACGGACCTGAAATTTGAGGAACTCCTAATTGTCCAAAAGAGTTAGACCCACAGGACAGAACTAGGCCAGATCCTGCAAAATGAAGTGTTAGAGCCTAATCAGTAAATCCATGAGCAAAAGCAAAGCATTATAACATTCTAACAAGCAAAATATCACAGCTGAGTAGCTGAAAAAAGGACCTAACAGGACATGTTCCAAAGCCCCTGAGGCCATAGGCTTCTGGTCTTATACGCCACATTCAGTAAAGGTCTGAAATTCACTGGGATACAAGGAACAACACGCAGTAATTTAGTTTGCAAGGCAAGTATAGCTTAAAACCTGTGAGTGCCTATGCATCACACAAGCAACAGCAATGTGGAACTTCCAGTGTGTTCTCTACATTAAGATATTTCTTCAGCTCAGAGAGAGGCAGATTTACCTACTAATATGATTGTAAAATCCCAGCCACAGGCAACTTCTTTTACACAGAGGCCAGACAAGGCAGTGCACAAAGTAAAACGCAGTACATCCTCTGTGTGATTCAATCCCAACTGCCCATCTTTATTATGGCCACATACAAAGAGTTGTCCTGCACCTAGAAGAAAAAACAAAACAAAACAAAAAATCACATTCCACTTCACTAAGTGGAGAAGACTAAGACGACAAGCGTACATCCATGAGATTCTGTGACAAATAAGGACAGTGATTGTGTGTCATTTTGGGCACCGCAATCAAGCAAAAAGAAAGAGAAACAGTTATTTCTGATGCATCAGAAACATCTCTGAATAAGTACAGCTATGGAGAGCTGGGGTTGTCAGGGGAAACAATCCATACAGTAAGACAAGCACCTCTCACTAAGATGCATGATGAACTTTTTTATCACATTCACATCTATCTGTATCCCTTCTTTCTCGTAATTAGCTATGGCATACAGCTGAACCTTGCAAACACAAGATGTTGTCTTCTGCTCCTTACCTTAAAACCTCCCAAGATCGAATAACCTCCCACTTGACTGCTCCCTCCCACCCCCCCTTCTCAATACAAAAAAATTTGTTGCTTTGTATGAAAAGCTATTACATGAAATAGGTTAAGAAATAGTCCTCACATAGCCATAAAGTAACCACACAAGATAAACAAAACAGGAATTTCCCCAATTTCCCCCATATATGGAGTTAATTGGCATGGGAGGAACCTGCTTTGCAACTAAGATCTATACTTGCTCAGATACAGAAGCCACAGGTAGGTGGCAGCACCAAATCCACAGGGAAATAGACCAGAAAAAAAAAAAAAATGTGTTTAGAAGCCATACACTCCTTGCAAGTGAAATGTTTTTACCAGTGATAACTGCAGAATGTCCCCCTCCTCCAGTAATGCTTTTAATGTCTTGACATTTGCAGGAAACATCTTTCAGTGACTGGGGTACCAGAACATCCTCTTTATGACCAAGACCAAGTTGTCCATAGCTGTTTGCACCCTTCAAATACACACAGAAAAACAACACTTTTTTTAAAAAAGTTAACAAAAAAAGATACATATCTGCTCCTAAGAGCAAACACGCTTATCGGGGACATGCCACAGCTTAACCTGCCAGTATTTGCTCCTGAAAATCGCCCAAAATGGCAGTCTTCATTCTTACTGCTGTCACACAGGACCCCCAGAATTACAGATCAGGACTGTTCTAAATTTGCTGTCATTAAGGCTGCCCTTGCAACCCCAGTATTTTAAGAAACATACTGAAATATATCCTGGTAAGACTTTAACTGCAGGCTAACCATCACTAAGGAGGAAAGCCTCATTATCAGGATGATTACCACCTGTTTAATATTAATGCTAATGATTCCCACTCATCACTAGATCTTATTCATGCCAATGCTTTCTGGCAGTCCACCTCCAAAACGAGATCATAAAGACATGCTACCTTGATCTGGAACCTAAATAAGTAAAGCAGAAACACTTATTCCTCATTAACTAAGTCTTTTAAGTAGTCAAAATAAAAATATACCATTATAATTATTATAAATTTATAAAAGTACAAACTTACAGCCACTAAACCACTCATAGAAAGCAACCACTAACAACACGGTAACATGTCAGGGAATTTCTTAGCCAATTTAAGCTCTATTAAGCATCCCACATTTTGAACAGCCACCTTCACTCACAGAGGTGGACTCCGTAACTGTCCTGGCCCACACTCCGCAGTAACAGCAACACTCAACACCCACATTGCTCCCAGATGGTGATCCCCAGGGGGGACTTCCCTGCCTCGCTTGCTCTCCCCCTCTGCCCCAAAGGTGCAGCACCTAGTGTATCTTAAAAGGACACTTAGCAATAAACATTTTGTACCTACAGAAACGACAACATTTTAGACAAAAGCCTCAGGCTGCTCGTCTCAGACCATAGTTAACAGGTGGATGAGATGTCAGGATTCAAGCTCAACAGGCAGAGCCAGTTGTTGTCTCACAGTCGCTGCTAGCTGTAGACAGTTTTAGAGCGTGTTACTACTGAACAGACATAGTTCGTTTTAGAAGGCGTGTCACAAGCTCTCATTTTAGCCTGTAACTTGCAATGAATTTTCAAGTCTTCAAAAACAGGCAAGCTGAGAGAAGGTGCAGAAAGAAAACAGGTGCCCGAGGAGGAGCCGACAACCACACAAATCTATCCCAAAGCTAACACACCTATCTTCATTTACCCTTCCAAGACTGATGGGTATCACCAAACATGACCACCGCAGAGCAAAACGAGCTAAGAAGGAAAAGAGATACTCATTTAATGGCTCTTAGATCTCCTTTGCTCATCAGGTAAAACCACGGTTCTGATGAACCACAAAAGAAAAAAAAAAAAAAAAAAGTCTTTATTTCTTTCGAAAGGCTCAGGATTTCACCCCAGGCCACACACTTAAAGCGCAACGCGCTTCCACCCGTCCCTCCCGCCTGCGTGGCGGCAGCAGGCGAGCAAAGCCCCGTCCCCACCGGGCCCAGGCCAAGGCAGAGCCCAGCCCCGGCGGGAC